TAAAATCTCCTAACTGATTTCATTATTTGCTAGTGGGTCACAAGCTTTGAAAAACACCACCTTAAGGCATAGGAAGGTTCATGGAAGATTTCAAAAGTATAATTCACAAATTCCCTCAACCTTTCTTTTCTTTTGTATTTCAAGGCATTGCAAAACAGGAGCAAGTCCAGCCCATTTTCTGGGAAACAAAACATCCCTGCGTGCACAGTTCACATGGTGTGTTGTCTGACAGAAAAGGGGAGGTCTCCACGTGGGCTTTCTTGTGTGTTTGGTTGCTGCAGATGATTAGGCATGTTGACGAGTAGAATTTCAAAACACAGGCCTCTCTCTTGGGCAGGACCTTGGTGCACTGTGGAAAGTAAGATCTTATGTCCCCAATGTCTTTTCGATGAGAATATTCAATAAGCAATTTCTTTCACTTAAGGAGCCCATCACACATCATCACCCAGAAGTGAGCAAGCATTCTGCCTCAGGGCTGCTAGAATGGGAACACAATGACTAGATGCCTTTCCAATCATGCACAGATTTAAAATTCACAGCACCATCATCACTACTACCACCTCCCTCAACAAGGCAAGAATCTGCTCCCCATCCAGCTCTGTATACTTTTGTGTCCAACTAAAATCCTCAAGCTGGAAGGAAACACAAAGGGCATCTGGTCTACCTCCCTCCTTCCAAAGAGGATAGCCAACCAAACTTCTCCAGCTCGAAGTGGAAGTATTTCCCCTTGTACCACAATGTGCATCTGTGCTCCACAGGGCTTTCCTTGTGCTGCACAAGCTTTAGATGTTTCTCCTATCACACTTTTAATGATACTGTTTATCCTACTTGGAATGTTTTTCTCTCTTGCCCACACAAATCCCACTCATCCTTTCAGAACACATCCCAAGCTCTCTAAGAAGCCTTCCCCAAACTCTACAGACCTGTCCATCCCTCCCTCCTCCTCTGAAATGAGATTCAGCTCATTGAACTCATGCAACCTTTTGCCTCTGAGATGCTGTTTAACAAGATTAACGTATTTGTTAATTGACTGACTTTCTAATATTTAAAAGATGGTGTGTTTATAAGTAATTTTAATCTTAAATTAACCCTTCTTACAGCATACATAGTAAGGAGTAAATAGAAAGATTTTGCATTTTATTAGGAAGATATTTAAATCAGGTTATCATTACAGCAATAAGTATTAAGCTATTAATGTCCATGTACTCAGAACCAGTGACAACTGCAATGCAGGCGCCAGCACTGCTGTTTTTCTGACACTGGAGACACTTGTCTCGGGCAACCAAATTCTTGCCTGTATCTGACAGAGCACCTGAGGGGCTCCGTCCCTGAATGGATACTATGGTAGATGCATCATGCAAGGAGACTCTGTACTTTGATACATAGTCAATCCACTACACTGTGTTGGCTTTGGTTTTTGTTATAATAGGATCACTGAATTTTATAACTTTGAAAAAACTTAAAAGATTATCTATTCCATCTCATACGAGGAAATTTAACCCCTAAAAGAGGTAAGCTAATGGGTTTCAGATCACCCTTGTAGAAAATGACAGAGTTGGGGCCAAAAAACCCAAATCTTCTGTTATCCAAAGAAATCAGGAGCTAGAAGTCTAAAAACCCCAGTCCACCTAGCTCTCAGTTTCATTTCCCCTGTCCCTAAACTTCCCGTCTTCCACCAGATCCCTCTGTCTCACCACCGACGCACTTCCCCAATCCAGGACACCAAACTGTCTTCCTCTCATCAACCACCTCCCCGTGTGGTTCCATTTCAGTGTCACGACTTCTCTTATCCCACCTGGCAATTTCCCTGTTTATTCAGGTTTCTCCCTTATCCAATACCACATCTACCAAAACCACCAGGTTGCTTTATTTTAAACCCTTCCTTATGGTCCAGACAACCTTACCTACGAAACCGAAGCTAGTGACCATGACTGCCTCACAAGAGTCCTGTTCCCTCCACCTAGGATTAATAAAGTCTTTTCCACCTCATGCTGCGTGTGACTATAATACGCTGAAAACAGACAGTTTTCCCCTTCATCAGGCAGGCAAATGCTCAAGACACAAAGCCAAGCAAACGATTGCCAGTTGAGCAGGGAAAGTAGCCGAGTCCATCCACACTACCAATAAATGACAAAGTTTACTCTTTACCCAAAGTTTCCTCTCTAGCTCAAGAGTGGAAACAGTGACTAACTGACCCCTTGTTTTCTTCTTGTCTACCTTCTCGCCAAGGCACTCAAAGAAGAACGAGGTGCTCAGAGCAGAAGACAGGACAAAGACGAGCCCAGTAAAAAGTCCAAACAAATCAAAACTAGCTGCAGAGTGTGGTGTTCAACATGCGGCCTCGGAAGGCCAGCTGGCCGGTCTTGGTTCCGCCAGTGACAGCTGAGTGACCCTGGGCGTCCCGCTTGAACTCTGCTCAGTTTCATCTGGTAAGTGGGGTCACAGCAGTACCTACCTCACAGGGTTGCCGCAAGCATCAAGTGAGTTAATACATGTGAAATACTTAGGACAAGGTTTGACACAAACGGAACACAACCTAAATGTCTATGCAGTGAAATCAACCCTGAGTCGGAAAGTATTCTGACAGCCATGCCCTGCGCCTGCCGATCTGCACCCTGCCTAGCAGCTCCAGGACTCAGAGACATCATGATGCTTCCTGTACCGCACTGCAGACGCCCTACGTCCTCCACGGTGGTTGCTTCCCGAGAATTCATTTTTTAATTCCTCTTCATCGGGACTTGACCAGAATCAACTCCTGGGTCTCTCGCTAACAGTCTCCATCGCTGCAGCCACCACACCTGGTGTGGAAAGGCCTCGGACACAAGACAAGGCCTGTGAAACCACACAAGTGCCTGTCTGCCCACACATCGCAAACTCTGCCTGTAACCCAGGACTGGAATTGGGGGACAAGAGGCCACCTCCACAGAGTAAACAAAATGAAGGCCATATTCTCCACGCCAAATGTGTCTTCTCGGTTCAGGGCGCACACCTCACAGAAACTGTCCTGAAGCCTCTCCTCCCTGTCCCTTTGCATTGTGCTGGGACTGGGCTCTTGGCTACACTGAATGTAGTCTTCTCGAGGCCACTAACACATGACCACTCTGCTAAGGCCCATAAACTCATCCGTCTCCACCGCCCAGGAGGGTCACCTCTGCTGATGCTCCTGGTCCTTCGGGGCTTCCCGCTCTTGGCTTCTAGGCTGGCTGTTCCTGCCTTCTCCTCCTCCTCATACTGGGGTGTCCTGAGGCTCAGGCCTGGGTCCTCTTCTCTTCTCCATGAGGAGATCGTCCAGTCTTGTGGTTTAAAACACCATTTCTTTTCTCAATGGCTCTCAAATACAGCTCTCCAGCCTGATTCACACATGCAGCTGCCTACTCAGTGACCCCACTGAGGTGTTCGTTAGGATCCTAAACTTAGCTTGTCCAAGACCAAACTCCTGACCTTGCCCCCATCTCCCCCTCTTCTGTCCTCCCCATCTCAGTAAGTAACACTCCCCACCGGCCCCTCTTCCGCTCACCTTCCTTCACACCTCACCAGCCAGCAAATCCTATCAGCTCTCCCTCTAGAAACATCCAGAATCTGACCATAGCTCATGACCTCCAAATTGCCCTCTGCTCTCCATCACGGTGGTCTCTCCTGTACTGAAATACCCTCGCAAGAAATTCTCCAGCATTTACCCTTGCCAACCATAGTGTTTTCTCAAAACGGCAGCCAAAGAGAAGCCATTAAAACTTAAGTCAGGTCATGTCACTCCTTGTTCAAAAGGCTTCAGTGGCTTCTCATCTCACTCAGAAAAGTCCTATGCTAAGTGTATAGCCCTACATAATCGGAGCCGCCCCTACATAATCGGAGCCGCCCCTTCCTAACCACTCCGACCTCCCCTCCCCCCTCTCCTCTGCTCACTGCACTCTGACCTCACCCCCTCCTCTCCCCTGCTCACTGCACCCCGACCTCACCCCCTCCTCTCCCTTGTTCACTGCACCCCGACCTCACCCCCTCCTCTCCCCTGCTCACTGCACCCCGACCTCACCCCCTCCTCTCCCCTGCTCACTGCACCCCGACCTCACCCCCTCCTCTCCCCTGCTCACTGCACTCCAGCCACGCTGCCGCCTTCTGTTCAGGGCCCCTGTGCTTACTGCCTTCCGCCTGGGACACCCTTCCCCAGACAGCAATGTGCGTGGCTCTCGCACCACCTTCGCATCTCTGCTCAAAAGTCATCCTCTAGATCGGGGGTGGGGAACCTTTCTTCTGCCAAGGACCATTTGGATATTTATAACATCATTCATGGGCCATACAAAATTATCAACTTAAAAATTAGCCTGCTAGCCCTGGCAGGTCTGGCTCAGCAGTTAGCATTGGCCCTCAGACCAAATGGTCGCGGGTTTGATTCCCGCTCAAGGGCATGTACCTGGGTTGCAGGTTCAATCCCTGACCCCGCTCAGGGTCCTGTGGCAGGCAACCAATCAATGTGTCTCTCTCACATCGATGCCTCTCTCTTTCTCTCTCTCCCTTCCTCTCTTCCACTCTAACTAAAAAAATCAGTGGAAAAATATCCCCAGGTGAGGAGTAACAACAACAAGCTAGCCTGCTGTATTTGGTCAGGCTAATTCAGTGAGATGTGTGATGTTAGCTGGTGATGATTTTGCGGGTCAGCCCTGGTCTAGATGAAGCCGGCCCTCACAGCACTTTTTAGATTTGCAAACTGTACCTATTTGGCACTCCTCATCCCCCTTCCCTGCTTTATTTTTCCCAATGAGACTCATCAACCTCTTATTTTATATATTTTATAGTAAAACATATTATAAAATTACTTTGCTTCTCCTGACTAGGACACTCATGCTGTCTTCCGCTACTAGAGTAAAAGCTTGAGGCAGGAAGGACTTATGTCTGTTCTCATTCACTGCTGCATTCCCATACCGAGTAAGTGCCTGGTGTACAGCAGGTGCTCAATACATGTTTGCTGAATGAATGGGAATAATGGCTCTCTTGGTTCCTCTTACCTAAGACAGTCATCACCGTCTTCATGAGCTTCATGGGTGTCCTCCGGCGGCTGATGGAGCCACTTGTATGTGGAGACAACACGTTGGTTTTCCTCTTGACATACATGTAGATCCGCAGGTACACCACAACCATGATGAAGAAGGCCACGAGGTTGGACACAGTCCAGAAAATGAGGTAACTCCTGCTGTAAATGGGGGCCAGGGAAGAGCAGGCGGAGATATCACAGAGGCAATTCCAGCCCAGTGTGGGGACCGCCCCCATAAAGATGGCAATGGCCCAGACAAACAAAATGAGCAACGTCACCCTCTTTTTGGTCAGGTTGCTGTGGACCCGCATCCTCATGATTGACATGTGCCTCTCCACGGCAATCACCAGCAAATTGGTCAGGGAGGCAGTCAAGCTAGTGTCCAGAAGCCCCTGGCGGAGGAGCCAGCGGTTGACAGTCAACGTTTTTGAAACGGGGCCAGTGTTGAACATCAGGAACACATAGGCAATTCCAGCAAAGAAATCTGCAGCGGCGAGGTTAGCCAACAGGTAGTAGAAGGGGAAATGAAACTTTCTGTTTTTAATCACCGCCGCGATGACCAGAGAGTTAGAAAAGAAAATAAACAGGCAGAAAAATGTTCCAACGCATAAAACAATCACCAGCTTCGTTCCTGTCCAGTCATCGACAGTGTCGGCACTGCTCCTGTTATAGAAGAAGTCCATCTGCTTATCATAGTGACACTCATTCATTGTGGAGAAGGACTGAACATCCTAGAAGAAAATTAAAGAAAAAACAAAATCATTCTTTGCAAAATCAATCAATAAACCACTCACTGCCCCTTGTTTGGCCAGCCCCTCTCAATCCTTCAGACCTCAGGAGATGTCCCTTCCTCTGGGACCCTCGCCCCTGATTTCCTATCACAGCGTTTGTCTCACACTGGTAACTGGTGTCTGTTTCCAGGCCTAGGTGCAAGCTCAGTGAGAGAGGATTTACGTCACCACTATAACCCCAGGTCTCATTTGCCCTGGCTGCCTGACGGCAGACCTTCGCTGAATGCTGGCTGACTGGCTGGCCGAATCAACCAATACATAAGTGATCATGGAGCCAGCAATAAGTCAAGTATTCCGGGCCCTGCAGTATCCAGGCTGCACTGGTAACAATAACAGCACGACATATGCATGCTTTCTCCTGGTGGTTTCCAGCTCATTTCTTATTTATGGGTTCTATTCATTAATCAAAGGCAGGTTGGCAATGCCAGGCACATTCTTGCCAAGATAACGGGGGTTGAGTTACTTTTCACATGACCAAGTGGCTTCCCCAAGAGTTCAATTTTCCACCACTCTGATTCCAGTCCTGATCCTGCTTTTGCCGTCTTTTGGTTTCGAGCTACAATGACAACCCTCACTTATTAAGCAGGTGGTGCAGGGCTGGAGACTGGTCTCAGTGCTCCTTCCTTACCTTTCTGTTACTCCTTTCTTAGTCTCCTAATCCAAACTGTACCAGCGTGAACTTATTTACTGGATTTTCCAACTCAATCACTTGGAGTCAGTTTCCGTCCCTGGGCTCCCTTCAACAGGCCTCCATGGGCAAGGCTGAGATCTGGGGCTTGGGCAGACCTCCAAGGATATGAGAACATACCTGCCAAGCGAGGGCAAGTCCTCAGGACACAAGTCTGAAAGTAGACCCCAAACTGGGGTCTCAGGCAGACAGGGAAGATACTACTCTCAGGACAAGATCTCTTAGACCCCAAAAGTGAGGGATTCTGGCCAACGAAGGGCCGAGCAGAGGCCCTAAGACTACCCCGTCTTCTGTGCTTGGCGGGAAGACCAGGTGTTCTGCCTCACAAGGGTCTGGGAATAGCCAGGAAAGGTCCTATCAAAAGAGACTGGGGTTGAAGGCCTGCAAATCTAGCTTCTGGGGAGAAGAACTGTGGACTCCCTCATAAGCAATGAGGCTGCAATTTATCTGCTGGAGACCCAGGAGGCTTGGGCACTGAGCAGTTCACTGCCGGAAATGAAGCGTCTCTAACAGCAGGGGCTTTATAGAAATCCCCAGCTTTTAAGGTTCTTATAAATTCTGAAATCCAACACCACATACAGAACCAGGATAAGCATATCAGATATCAATCTGAAGTCCTACAAAACAGAAATGGTATGTTAGGCAGTCTCCTTTTTATTTACATCTTAATGACATGATACTTTTGAATGAATTAGACAGGTACCCCTCTGCTGTAGCAAATGAAAGGTAAGCACTTCACTTTATATGCTGAAAATAAAACTGAGAGTGGTCTCAAGAGAAAAATAGTCCTAGTGCTTTTAAATGACAAGGAAGGGAGACTCAATTTTAATAACAACTAAACAAAAATTATTTTTGCAGAATTCACCAGTACTTAATTGCCAATATCAGATAACTCCATACAACAGGCCAATATATCTACACTTTATTGTGACAGTTTTCCTAAATTAAAAATATAGATATATTTGATCATTTTAATAGCTTCCTAATATTCCAGTATAAGAATATACCACACTCCATTTAACCGATCCCTAAATGCTAGACCCTTAGGTTGTTTCCAGTATTTTGCTTTTATAAGCAAGGTTACATTCTTGTGCATTTATCTTTACATACTTGGCCAATTATTTCTTTAAGATTAATCCACAGACTTCAAGTTGACAAAGTAAAGGATGTAAATTCATTTAAAGGTTTCTGATACATATTGTCAAACTGTTCTTGAGACAGATTGTATTTCTAATCCTACTAGCAGCATATGGGAGTTGAGTGGAAGATACTAATCTAGTGAAATTCAATTTAAATATCCAAGGAGAAAATTCAGCTTTCAACAATGTTGAAAGTATACAGAAATTCAAGTCAAACAATAAAAAAACAAAACAAAAAAAAAAAACACGCGAACTGTTAATGATGCAATTAATATGTGTCCTTTCACTAATGAATAATAATGAATTTTATTTTTATTTTGCTATAGGCTATAGATACCTAAGAGAAACACATCTCTAATTTAAAATTATATTATCCTTGATTAATTCATCAGTAGTATCAAGAGTAATATGCCAGAAAAAAAACTTTAAAATTTTCTTTTGAAGGAGCCTTATCTTTTATTATTATTTTTTTCTTTATTGATTTTAGAGAGAGAGGAAGGGAAAAGGAGAGAGAGGTAGAAACACTGATGAGAGAGAACATAGATTGGCTGCCTTCTGCATGCCCCCCATTGGGGATCGGTCCCTCAACCTGAGCATATGCCCTGATCAGGAGTCCAACCAGGGACCTCTTGGTGCATGGATCAACGCTCAACTACTGAATCACACCAGCCAGGCAGAAGTCTTAACTTTTTATTTTTGGTTCATAAATTTGGTTGAATTTGTAATTATATGATATCTTAATAAGCTCAATGATTTTTACTTCAAAGGTCTTCAAATTCAACTTTCCCCCATAAAAACCAGAATGGCACATTCTTAGACATATTTTAACATGTAACTGAGAAGTAGTTTTGTCTTGTAAATGAGAGAAAACATGATTAGCTGTAACGTCTGACAAGCAGCTCCCTATAACCCTGAGCCTCAGATTCTCCCTTTGGGTGAAACAGACAAGAACCAGAGAGTTCACTCAGGGAATTGGTAAAAGATATTTCACAGGACAGAATATTATGCAGCCATTAAAAATCACAATTACCACAAAGTTGTGTTAATATGAGAAAAAACATATGCCATTACTTTAATTACAAATAATTATATATGTATGTGTATGTATACAAATATTTATATACATATATACACACGTAAATGTGTGTTGGTGTCCTATTTTTTAAAGTTACAGAAAAAAGGTTTTATTTTTAATTTCAAAGTGTAATATTAAGAATGGTGGAATTGTGGGTCATTAAAAAAAATTCTTTCCAGATTTTTCTATTCCACATTTTCTGTAATAAATAAGTAGACTTTTACATGCTACTGTACAAATTCTCTCTTAGGGGCACACATTCTACTTAATGTGTTGTACCTTTCTTTGACAACTACAGTCTGAACATCAAAATTAATGTTCAAAGGAAAAGCCTCAAGGATTCACTTATGGTCATTATTACTACATTTAGCAGCAAAACGCACTTTAGAGTTTTTCAGTGATAATGAAAATAAAATAGTTTTCTACTTATATAACCATAAAACCTTATATGCTGACAACTAACCAAATCAGGACATCATTTCCCCCAACTCGCCTATAAAACATTTCCTAATTCAATCATCCCAGAGCTCCAAAAGTGAATAACAGGAAGTTTTGTGAATTAGTACTCTTGATATTTTTCTCCTCTGCCATACACTGCCAAGCTTGTTGACAGTCCCAGTCTATCACCAATACATATCAACTACAGATCACTGTATTTCCTTAGCAGGAAACTACCAAAAACTTTGGTAAACTTGTAACAAATTATCTGATTTATCACCTCTGGACCTCTCTCAAACCTTGAAATATTAGTCTGTGATCCTAGCCTAAACATCCCCTTCTCTGATCAATACAAAGTCACTCCACACCCCTGAGGCTATAAAACTCTTAGAAAAAACATAGGCAGTAAACTCTTTGACATTTCTCTTAGCAGTATCTTTTTGGTTATGTCTCCTTGGGCAAGGTTAATAAAAGAAAAATTAAATAAATGAAACTACATCAAACTACAAAGTTTCCGTACAGCGAAGGAAACCATAAACAAAACGAAAAGGCAATCTACAAAATCAGAGGAGATATTCCCAAATGATATATGTCTAATAAGGGGTTAATAACCAAAATATATAAGGAATTCATACAACTTAATGCCAATAAACCCAAACAATTCAAATAAAAAATGGGCACAAGACCTGAATAGACATTTCTCGAAAGAGGAAATACAGATGGCCAATAGACGTATAAAAAGAGGTTCAACATCACCAATCATCAGGGAAATTAACACCACAACAATATATCACCTCACACCTGCCAGAATGGCTATCATCAATAAATCAACAAATGAAAAGTGCTAATGAGGATGTGGAGAAAAGGGAACCCTCACACACTGTTGGTGGGGTTACAAATTGGTGCAGCCACTATGGAAAACAGTGTGGAGATTCCTCAAAAAAACTAAAAATAGGCCCTGACTGGTTTGGCTCAGTGGGTAAAGCGTCAGCCCGAGGAATGAGAGGTCAAGGGTTCGATTCCATCAAGAGTGCGCACCTGAGTTGCAGGTTTAATCCCTGGCCTCAGCTGGGTTGTGCGGGAGGCAACCAACTGATGTGTCTCTCTCACATCAATGTTTCTCTCCCTCTCTCTCTCTCTCCCTCTAAAAAAACAAGAAAAAATTCAGTGAAAAAATATCTAACGGTGAGGATTTAAAAAATAGAGCTGCCATACAATATAGCAATTCTACTTCTGGGTATTTAGCCAAAGAAAACAAAAACACTAATTTGAAATCACAGATGCATTCCTATGTTCATTGCAACATTGCTAATAATAGCCAAGATATGGACAACACCTAGATATCCATCAACAGATGAACGAACACGTAAGTGGTATATACTGGGTGGAGTAAAATTACGTTTACAGTTGTGAGTACACGAAACATAGAATATTCTTGTACTATTATTTGTTAGTTGTATTATTTTCCATACAAACAACTGTAAACCTCCTTTTGCCTCACCCTGTATATACAATAGAATATTATTCAGCAATAAAATAGAATGAAATCTTACCATTTGCAAACACATGGATGGACCTGGAGGGTGTAGTGCTAAGTGAA